AGTTATAGAATATGGAATTTAAATAACTTAGGGTTCTGTTGACATGAGACACGATGTTCCTGGCAGGACCATTCTATTCCTGAGAGAATGTTAAGCACTGAAGACACTCCACTTGGAGCTTGTTTTCTTCTTGACAAAACTGGCCTTTGGGCAAGGAACTGCCCATGCATCGACCACTGACAAATGCACACTGTCTGGACAGGACAAGAAGAATACAAGAAAAAGAACTGTAAAATATTGCCCAAGACAGGGTAAGATGGCTTTGAAAAATTTCTTGCCTCTGAAAATGGTCTGTCAGTTACTCTAGGCCTTAGCCAGAGTTGGTTGCTCTAAAGTTACAAATGAGACTTTGGGTGATTGCCCAGGTAGCCTGTTGTCTGTGTCATTTGTTGCACATTTTGGAAGTTGCTTGATTGCACTTTCTGCTTACTCAAGTACTATTATTTCCCTTCTCAGGTTTTTGATGGTATTGAAGACTAGATAGTTGTAATTACTTTCCTTTCATGACTTGGCCATGTTATTTATAATACAAGACTTAAACTCCTTAGGATAGGATAATTATTGAAGCATTTTTCACATGTTTCTTGCTTGATATTGTTTATGCTGGCTGTAATTCTAATTTTTATGCCTGATATTTGTTCTTATTGTATATAGTTTTGTATTAGGCTGAGAACTCTCTTATTTAAACAAAAGGGGGATGTGCTGTAAGAATTCCTACCACCGGTAGCCTTTAAGTTACCCACCCGCTTAGGCATGGTCTCTTATACTATAAATGCCGATGTAAAGCTCACATCCAGCCTCTCTTCTGGCTGCGGGATTTGGTTGCTGTTCCTGTTAGAGCAGAGGACTGTGATCTGTGAGTCTACACCTAAATAAATAAATAATCTGAATAAATAAAGAAATAATCTGAATAAATAAATAATTTGTGCTAGTGTGGGATTTTTTTAGCATCCGTCTTCAAGATAAGAATAAGTTGCACCCATAGTATTAATAACACCCTTTGTCTCAAGACATTAAGATCTGCTAAATTTGACATCTTGCATAAGTCAAGGTTACAGAGAGGCAACCTCCTATTCCAAGCCCTCTCGCTGTATCTTAGGAGGACAAGAGCTAATAAGTCATATATGATACAAGGAGAGGCTATGACAGTAATATCAAAATTATTTGCAGCTTTTAAAGTAATAAAAAGGATGTCTCAGTTTTTCTGTCCTAAATCTACCTTGGACCCCCTGAGAGGTCCCAGAAGCAGGGGTGGGAATGGAGATGAACTATGATTTTGCCAGAACATGCAGCAGATTGCCAAGAGACATTGACAGTCTCTTGCTAACAATTACCAAATTAGTTTCAAAGGTCTTTCCCTATATTCTCATTAGTTGCATTCTATGTGAGGGAGAGAGGAATAAAGTATATGAGGAAGCATCACTTTCTTAATGAGTCATACAGGACTCAATACAAAGATCTCTCCCATTCTGGGTTTACCCTTGAGCTTGCTCTGCATGCCCTGAAGCAGACAAGGCTGCTTGGTGGTTAAGTCTTTTACATGCTCGCCTAATTGGAATCATCAGTCACACTGGACCTGATAAAGCCTGACGTGGTATACACAGACTTCATTAAAGCTGTGAATGAGTCCACAGGCCTTTTGCAAATCTCCATATGGCTTCATGTCGTCCTCAGTGGTCCTTCCCAAAGTGCCTTCTCCTCTATGGAAGGAGACCCAGCTTTGTTTTATGTCTACTTTAGCACATTTCTTCAAGGTAAGTAACTTACAATTACCACTGAATTAAGACTAGAAGACTTTTGTGTTGACCATAATGATTATAATTGGCACTGCACACACACACACACACACACACACACACACACACACACACACACTAATTAAAATGAGGATTGTCCTTCTCTTGTCTCCCTGAAGAAGGTAATAAAAGGACAGAAAGCCATCGTATGTGTTGTAACTGGAAAATTAATCACATCAAATATTCTCTATACTAATCAAGTTATAAGTTTGGAATGGGTTTATATAAAACAGATGTTTACATTCTTGCTCTCCTTGGGTACTAATGTCAAGGGAAGAAAGCACAGAATAGCTATGTCATGGCGTACTTTGAGGAATGTAACACTTTGCTTTTACTCTTTTTAATGAAGCCACAAAGTCTGTGGTCAGGGAGGAGAACAGGCCAGAGGGGAGAAAGACTAGGGGGTCTAATCTTCCAGACCTTATAAAGACAAAACTCTTCTCTCCAGTGACGGAACAGGAAATGTGCTGCCTCAAGGAACGGGGACCAGGCTCAGGGTAGGAGGGAGCAAATGTCTGGAAGCTTGTCCTCTGTGGCTGGACTGAAACCCTGGTTCCCTAAGGCTTGTGACTCTGGTGGATGTTTTAGCTACAGCCTGCTCTGTAAGGACTCAGCTCTCTGCTTCCCTTCATCTGGAAATAAAGACCAACAGATCTACAGGCTGTTCTCAGAGTATTTCAGGAAGAATCCTATAAAGCCTAATTCAATGTCTAATGAGGAAAAGAGGCCCATGTGTTAAAAATTTGGTCACCAGCCTACAGTGGCATTACCTCGGGAGGTGGTGCATTATGGGAAGAAGTTAGGTCTTTAAGGGTTGCCCTTGAAGAGGCTCCTGAGAATCTGGGTTCTCCTTTCTCGTGCTTTGCCTCCTGGCAGCACTGCGATGATCGGTATCTTCTATGTGTTCTTACATGAGCCGCGGCACCACTTGTGGGCCCAAAGCAACAGAGCCAAGCGACCGACAGTGGACTGAAACCCACGAGCCTACCAGCTAAAATTAATCTTTCTCCTTTCAGGTTGGTTACCTCAGATGCTTTGTCAAGGCAACAGAACGCTAAAAAAGGACCTTCATTAAACAGAGAGAAGACTGGGGTGTAGAGAGTGATTTGCCTAAGATCCAAAAGTAGATACTTGCAACAGCGTTGTAAGTTTGCTGATATCCCATGACTGTCGGTCTCCCTCTGCCCCTAAAGCACTGCTGGACACTTGTCAAGTTCTAACTACAACCCAGGCACTATTTTGGAGCTTGATACATGGGCAAACTTGACCACTTTTCCTCTATATTCTAGAGCTGGGAAATAATCGCAATACTAACCCACATAAGAGAAAGTAGAAAAGGACATAGAGTGGTTATGTCACCTGCCCAACTTATCACAGTTTGCCTTTCTCATCATTTTTCATTTCCTGCCTGTAGTCTAGATCGTCCCTGTCATTTCGTTGTAAAATTGAAAATGTTGGTGGGGACACTTAAAATATACAGTCACTTTGTATGACACTCTAGGGCTTCATTATGCCCTATCACAGCCTATCTGGAGGAAACGATGCTCCATTTTTAATTTCTTTTGCTGTGTGAATTATTTATGAAGTGGTCTTTGACTTCAGGCCTTTCCTTTTGCTCAGCATTTTTCTGAGTCCTTTTTCTTATTCGTTATAAATTAAAGCTAATTTTGTTTTTCAACCACAACGCCATGAATTCCTTTTAAATAAGGGCTCATTTTATTTGTTCTAACGTAGTAGGAATTCAGTAACAGTTGTTTAAAGGATTGCTGAATTCACTATGATTCATAGCAATGACAATAATAACTTTATGTGAGGACTTCAAGCATCATCTTAGACATAAATGTAACTGTCTTCATTAACACATCAAATATGTCCAACAAGGCTGGAGAGATGTCTCAGCAGTTAAGAGCACTGACTGCTCTTCCAGAGGTCCTAAGTTCAATTCCCGGCCACCCACATAGCAGGTCACAACCACCTGGAACTGTTGTCCCATGGGATCTGATGTCCTCTTCTGGTGAGCAGATATACATCCAGATAAAACACCCATATATATATATATATATATATATAATAAATACAAAAATATTCCCAACAACTTTGTGCGATGAGTAATTCTATAACCATTTTGAATATAAACAAACAATACTTAGGATGCCAAGATAAGATAGCATCAGTGCTGTGTGGACAGCCAGAAATAGAACCCAGGCCTTTCAGTATGATCACCAGAGCGATGCAATGTCATAAGTTGATTTTTTAATTAGGCTGTCTGTGAAATTTCTGTAAAGCCAAATACTCCAAAGAGTAAGTTGATCATTTTAAGGACAGAGAAATTGCTTAAATCATCTTGCTTAGGAGAAACCTCATTACTTACCTCCAAGAAGATAATCAATGGACTGTGGAAGTGAAGACAATTTAGCAGAATATACTAAAATTAAAATGAAAGCTCTTTAAGAAAAATGAAAGAATAGCATGAACCCATGACCTGTCTGCTAGTGACAAATCCTTACAGCCTATGCCACCACCTCTGGATTACATGGTCTACTTTTAAAAGGCATTAATATATTACAATATGAATTTTTTGCTGTCCCTTGAACATTATGGAAAGTGATTTGAATTCAAGTGGTATTCAGTGGTATACAACCCATTTCCTATCTACGCCTTTATTCAAATATGTTCTGAAAGAATAACCCTCTTTCTGCAGACCCTACCTCTGTGTCTTCAAAACAATGTGCTTCCCAGACTCAGAATTTAATCGTGTTCTCAAAAATCTTGTCTTATGGGATCAGAAAGGAGCTTGGAAAGTCAGAATACCTACTATTCTCGCCAGCGGGGAACCTAGCCTAACTTAGAAAAACTGTAGAATCCCTACCTGTGTGTCTTACATTCCAACACTCATAGCTCTTTGTCAGAATAGTTTTCCTTGTGTTTCTTCTAAGGCAGTTTGAGATGCTTTCCTCTTGCTCTGTTTTCAGGAAAACGACAGATGCTTACAGCCTGCACTATTCGCCCATACTAATCTATGAAAGGAGGAATGAGCTGGAGCCATCCCAACTGCCTTTACTTTTTTGTAAAGAGCTCGGTGCTGTCTAAATCACATTGATGAAGACAACGAATGACTCCAGGGGTCTCGGAAGGAATAAGGAGCTACACCATGAGACCGACTGCTCTTCTTTCCTCCCTTCCCTTTCGTTTTCAGTCCACATTGTTAAAAGCAAAAACTTAAGTAAAAACTTGTCTCCAGGGAGCTAGAAGGATGATTCTGTGGTGATTAAATGGAGTTTGAATTATGGGTAGTGTTTACTGCTCTGCTCTAGGATGGGGTGTGAACGTGGGAGAGTGGAGCCTGAAAATGAGGCAGGTTAAAGTCTCATGCAATAGCCAACTAGACTCAGAGCATCACTAAACTTATATCTCAGAGCTAAGAGGCACACAAGTAAACTGTCCAATCACAACAACAAGCCACATGTGGCCAAAAGATGTACTGTGGAGGCATATTGACACATAGCAATAGCCTGTTGTAATGAAGAATCTAAAGCATCCTCACTCCAATCCCTTACACCTGGGAGGGGCACAAAAGCACGCTTTGAGAGCAAGTCCATGTTTTGAAGAAACTGAGGTCACAAGACTCTTGCCTTCTTCTCTTGTAGTTTTATCACAAGCACTCAGAATTCCCCTCACAAGACTCTATTCTTGGACCGTGTTGCAACAAGTATGAACTCATGCAGGTACATATAATTATACGGACACATGCACATTAATATGTTCCTATGTTTTCTTGCTCAGTCAGCTGAAAAATTCTAGAAACAATGACCCCCGCATGAATAAGCATACCGAGAGTTCAAACTTTGGTTTTTAATGACAAAAAGTTGTCTGTGATAAGAAAAGAAGCAGTATCTTTGGAGAAATGATTCCTTCTAAGTTGGGGACAGGAAACATATGACATGAACCTGGTGCATCTTATAGGGTCAGAAATTAAGAAAGTTTTCTAAAAGCTATATGCAATTGAGTTCATCACAAGGGACAAACATTAAAAGACTTCCCGATCATCAAAACAAGGAAAAAAAAGACAAAAATTAAAAGACTTTCCAGTCATCAAATGAACAGTACAAAATTAAAGTGTAAAATAAATGAGATAATTTATAACACAAAATTATGAATAAATAATAGAAATAAAGCTAACGGGCATGGTGGCATTTGTTTGTAAATCCCAGGATGCAGGAGACAGAGTCAGGCAAAGTCAAGAGTTCAAGGCCAGCTTTGGCTAGAAAACAATTTTGAGATCATCCTGGACCACATAAAACCTTTCTCAAATAGCTAACAAATTTACTAAGTTAATTAGAAAATCTCCCACATGGACAAATTGCAACTATTATAACAAGATTCTCCCTGCTCAAGAAGATAAAGAATAACTATCTACCCCATAAGTGTACACTACAGCTGGATTTGCTCCCAAATTGTTAAAGAAAAAGAAAGAACCATACTTCAAGGGAGAAATCCAGCAAATGCTACCTCTGACAGATGACTGAGATTAAAATCAGCAGTGAATTTTCATCCTGATAGTATTTCCTCTTGATATTGTAGAAGAAAAGTGTCTCTGGTCTTCTTTCCAATAACACTCCCAAGCTTCTTGTCGTTGTTTCAAGAAGTTTAGTGTGCAATGTAACACTCTGAATGAAATACGAAACAGAAAATACAGAAGTACAAAATACGAATAAATCATAATATTTGGTTAATGATGATGGATCAATATTGCTTCCTGTGCCAGCTCATTTTGACTTCAACTTGACTCAAGCAAGAGTCATGTGGGAAGAAGGAGCATCAACTGAGAAAATGCCCTCACCAGATTGGCCTGCGGGCAAGCTGTGTTGAGTTTCCTTAAGTGATGGTTGATGCGGGAGAGTCTCATATATATATATATATATATATATATATATATATATATATATATTCCTAATACATACTCTAAATATATTTCTAATTCCTAATATATATTTATATTTCTAAATATATTCATATATATGTGTATATACACATATGTATTCCTAAATTACAACTGTTTTACTCAGAGAGATTGCTAATGGGACTCAAGGCAGTAGCCCGCAATTCAGTTAGTTCAACTACATTTGAGATAAGTTTCTGCTCAGTGAAGGGTCTCTAGCCAGCCCGAGTATGGCAAATACTTCCCCCATTCCCTCTGCCTTGCTTAAAAAAAAAAAAAAATAGATTACATTCCTAAAGCCTAAAGCTAATCACCAAGGTCTAGTCTCTTATTTGGCCACTTCCTCCTCCTGAGGCTGACTACCAAGATCCAGTTACCAAAGTATTCAAGTCCAGCAATCTAAAGTACCCTTTGGCTGTCCTAATAACATGCCCAACAAAAATTAAACACATCATTCTAACACAGGGTTTACCTCCTTTTACTTTTGTAAGCAGCCGTTATCCTATGGGCCACATCTGTCTCCTCTCTATCCAGAGGTAGTCCTTTGCCTCCTCCCCCTGCCCCGGACAAATTTCCAAATATTCCTACTCCCCTCCCTTGTCCCTTTCCCCTTCCCTCCCATCCTCTATCTCCTGTCTTTGTCTATTATCCCCTGCCTTCTGTCCCTCTGTGCTGTGAACTTGGTCTTGGGAACTAATTTGAGAACTAACCCTCGCCTTGGAACTGTTAGTGTGGTACAGGAGTGCACCTAGAGCGGCATAGACCCAAACCCTTCCTAGAGAAACTGTTTAAGCAACATAGCTTATGGCTGGAGCTGAGGGCTGTTGCTTCCTTGCTGAACTTGACCAGCATGACTCCATGCATGGAACCTAAGCAGAGGCAAGCATGGCTCATGTCAGAAAGCTTCAGTATGATTTGATGAGCTAATTTCAGCCAAAGTCTTCCACCTGAAGTCACTGGGAGACGATGTGGTATACAGTCAAAGTACCTCTATTAATTTCTTTAGCTGAGACTCATAAACTGGAGGGGATGGGGTGACCAGGAAACTTCAGAAGTGTATTAGGGAAGGGCTTTCCCCACTCGTGTTGTACTTAATGCGTAAAGGTTGACTTTCTCAAAACAAACGCAAAGTGAACTGGTGCAGGCATTAAAATTTATTCAGCCATCCCTGATGGGCATTCCTGAATGCCAAATATTTAGCTATACCCTGAAACTGAGAGTATAGAATTAGAAACATATTTAACAGATGTTGAAAAGAAACAGGCACCCTGTCAAGTAATGCAAGCTTCCAATGTTGCTGCTATCAACCTATGTAACAAAATAATAATGAAACAGTGATATAATTACAAATTTAAAAGCAAAAAAAATAAGTTTTTGTTTTTTAATTGGGCTGGGAAATGGCTCAGTCATTAAAGTGTTTATCATGAGGACATGAGTTGGATGCCCAGACCTTTGCGGGTGGGGAAGCAGTCACAGGGATATGACTCACTGGTACTTACTGGGCAACCTGGCCAATTAAGCAAGTTTTGGGTCAATGGAAGACCCAATCTCAAAAGGTAAGTAAATAAAAATGACTAGTGCCCGAGGAATAACACCAAAGGCTGCCCTCTGGCCTCCACATACACACTGCATACAAGTACACACACACACACATGCACGCGCACTCAAATGCCCACTAACAATTTCCACTCCATTTCTCCTCGTCCAGATTTTAAAAGTCACAGCCTTTGCCTGAGTTTGGCTTTGTCGAGCGGCTCATCTCACCTGACCAACAAGTGATAAACATTATCTTCATTTCTCTTTTCAGTAGTCCAGTCTAGCCAAATATAGTCGCCAATGCACAGGAAGCCTTGGCCTGTGCAATAGAGAGCCAAACACTGGCATTTGTCTTTTTGAAGGCAAAGCTATCGAGACCAAACTGCCCTGACGTTAGTGGAAAGAGCAGAAAACACTCTCAAGGATCCTGTCTGTATTATTCGGTGAAACCATGAGCAGAAACAGTGCTTTCTAAGTGAGATAGACCAGTGGTTCTCAACCTTCCTAATGCTGCGGCCGTTTAAAACAGTCCTTTCTGCTGTAGTGAGCCCAACCATAAGATGATTTCTGTCTCTACTTAACTGTATTTTGCTACTATAATGAATCATAATCTAAATATCTGATATGCCTGATACCTGTGTGATCCGTTGGACTAGAAAGGCACGTTTCCATCATTCCCTTGGTCTCCCCACTAACTCCACACATTCAATAAGCACTTAGTTATTTAGAAGTTATTCAATGCTGGGACTCTGCAGCATCATAGGAATCAACTGATCCTTCAGGGCAATAAAAGTAAAGACGCTTAACTGAAGTGATGGCTCAGTTAGCGAAAGGCCTGTTATGCGAGAATGGGAGTCTGAGTTCAGATCCGCTCGACCCTGCAAAAGAGCCAAGTACAGACAGTCATATACCTATAACCCCGGCGAGTTGAATCAGTGAGCTCCAGGTTCTCATAAGCTAAGGTGGAGATGACTGAGAAATATTCTCAACACTAACTTCTGACCTGCAAACATGTCCATACACTCCCATGAGCGCGAACATATATCACACAGAAACTACATAAATAAAATCTGCTTGATTCTTATCAGAATGTATTTTAGTTGTCCTCACTGCCACCTGTCTTTACTCCGCTCATGTTATTGCTGTTGGGTGAGTGCAATAAAAAAAAAAATGTTGCAGAGCCCAAGAGTTCCACCAAAGAAGCTCCTGCAAAATCGGGGCTTTAAAACCAGTGGAGGCATAAGGAACGTGCGAAAACTAACACTGCCCTCTGCTGGTAGTCTGCAGAGAGACGTTTGCATTTGTGGGCTGCTGGTACCTCACTTCTGTTTGCGGGTATTCATTTCCACTCTAGGAGATTGGAGTTTGCTTCTCGCCAGTGTAATATTTGGAGTCCTTGGGAAATAAAATGCAAAATGTGGAGATCGTGCTAATAAATGTCTAATCATTACCACCAAAATAAACACTTTTAAAGAGAGAGCTCCACCGTAAAGATGGGAAGCATTGTCTCATAACTTAACAGCTCAAAATGCATGATATCAGAATTGCTTCTGATTGAACATGAATTTAATTATCCAAGAAGCCAGGAATTCCTGCTAATGAGACAGTTCTGGAATGCGCTCAGTCCTCATCAGGAATAACATAATTCCGCCTCTCTCTCTCATCAACGGGGTAGATGAACTTGACTGTTGTCTCTCTGCTGTGTCCCAAGGCATTGATCCCATGCTGCTTTTCGCCACCTGGCCAGGTCTTCACCACACTCCCCCCTTCCATATAGGTCACATAGGCAGACAAGAAGCACTGCCTCTATTGGGTCAGATAGCCCAAGGTCATCGGTGCAGCAAATATCCACTACAGGTTGCTCCTGACATCCTGTAGTGAACCTTTCTCTCTCTGGTGGTAGAGAAGGCTAGACAAAATCCGCTTCCGTCAAGAGCCCCTTGAGAATGAGTATTGTCTTACTTCACCTTGGTATTTCTAGTGCTTACTTAGCACTGTGTTCTTTATATAGTACATACTTAAGGCTTATTAAATGGAGAAATAAATTGGCTTAATAATTTTAAATCCTTTTCTCAATTAAATGCTTAGGGGTGAATGAAGAAGGGTTTAGGAGAAAGAATGTATATTCTGAACCATACCGACTTGGATTTCAGTCCTGGCTTTGATACCCAGTTTTGTATTGGGAGCAAACTTCACTTCCTCAAGCCATCTATAAAATAAGATTTTTTTCCCCTCCTTCTCTTAGGGATACAAAAAGAAATGTGTGTTTTGGAAAATTCTTAGTGCATAATGGATATTGCAGAGTTTTCTTCTCCGTCATCCCAGATAAATTTCTTATTTCTTTCTCTATAATCAGAACTATAAGTGAACGTGACCTCGGATCCATTTTGAGAAGAGGAGAAAGAGTCTGTGGCTCCAATACTATTTGTCTACATTGTTAAGCCTCCTTTTTCCTGCCAGGAACAAGAGTAAGCATGTATGTGTAAACGCCTCTGTTTTGCCGCTTTAAAGTTGCTACTGATTTCAAAAGAGGTTATTGGAAAAGGCAGCCGGGCGCTTTGTTTCCCTGCCTGTCATTTTCCAACTAAGAAAAAGTGGAGAATTACACCACCTTCCGTGCAATCAATGAGCTACAGACTTTGAAACACTTCCATCCACTCTCTCTCTTCTGTCCCGCGTCAACCCCCATTTTAAAGCGAAGGAAAGGAAGACCGGTGGAAGGACAGACCTGCCAGATGCGGGGAATAAAAATAGATTTGTATTCTGACTTGTCCAAGGATCCTTTGTGATGAGCCCTGCAGCAGCCATTCTGTACTCACCAGCGCCCTCTAGGCTCCACATCCGGTATTGCATTCTGAGATTCTGCTTTCTCCTGCTGCCTGGGGCGCTGCAGTCTACCCATTAAGACACCCAAGTCATGAGTCCTGGTGTTCATTTTCCCCCTCAGTGAGTCACAACTGGCATGTGGTGAGTTGTTTGGAATTAGCTACTTTCCCAAGGTTTTGTAGCAAGCTTGAATGCCCTTGGTGATGGTTTTTGGTTTTGTTTTTGTTGTTTTATTTTTTTTTAACAATTCTAGGGAAGCGCTCAGCTTATTTTGAACATTCAAGATGCTACAGTGAATGTAAGTGGAATGGAAAAGATGAAGCTCGTATCTGCGGGGCTACAGACTCCGAGTCGCCATTGGGAACAGCTGGGCCTGTAGGTTTTCTTCTCTGGTGCAGTGCAAACGTTGCTGCTGCTGCTGTGTTCCCAGTGCCAGTGGTGGCCAGCTGTTCTCATCAGAAACTCTCACACCATCAAGAAACGTTCTGTGCAAAGATGTGGGCAACACCTGTCTACTGCTGTTTCTGTGCCAACTCTAGATCCATACCCAGCCCTTCTTATATCATTTAGTCTCACACTGATCACACATCCTTCCATAAAAGTCTGGCTGATCTTGGATCCCTGTGCCTTCCAGAAAATTATATACCCCTGAAATTGTGTTGTTGTTTTTTTTTTTTAAAAAAAAAAAAAAAGGAATGTGGATACTTATCGAAGTAGTGTTTTTAACACTCTCAGGTGGATTCATTCTTTACAACGGAGGTAAAGAAGGTTTGCTATGGTGGACAAGTGCACCATATTCCTCCTCAATGCAAATAAAATAATTGTTTCTTCTCAGTCAACCATGGAAACTCTCAAGGGCTAAATAAAAAACTAAATTAAGTAGGGACAAACACAGAAGGACTGGAGAAGTGGTTTAGCCATCAAGAGTGCATACTGCTCTTACAGAAGATCTGCGTTTATCTCCCAGCATGGACATTGGGTACTAACATTCACTTATGACTCTGGCTCCAGTGAATCTGGTGCCCTCTTCTGGCGTTCAAAAGCACTACACTCATATGCATAAACACGTACACACACTTAAAATCTTTTTTTAAAAACATAGAAAAAAAGTTAACTATAAACACGATATCAGTTAGCAGGTAATGGTTGATAAATCACTCTAAGAACTGGTCAAAATGGGCATAAAATTTGTCATAAATAATAAACTGGTCATACACAAAACTTTACACTATTGCTTTGCATGCCTCTGCCGCACACTGGTGAGAAGTTTATGATAGGACTTTCAGGAAAAGCTGTCAGGGAGGCAATGGGTATCACTAAAATCCATGAGCTCAGTTTGTGCTTAAAAGCAAAGAAGATGCCCAATTTTAACAAACAATTTATGGATGCACTAATTGTAGTTGTCCTATCTCATCTGCTTCTCCAATCATCTTAGCCAAGTAAAGCATCCAGTTCAAAACTGGAGCCCAAGACCCTTCTTTCTCACAGCATGGAAAAGATCAAGAAATTCTGAATCTGCCTTAATCATGGCAAATGCCAAAAATGTGATATTTACTGGCCAAAGTCACCGATTTGGTCCCATAAAATTGTCCTTTAACTTGGATTTTAGCAAATATCATTTAAGTTTCTACACAGATTCCCTCTAATCAGAAAATGCAAGTTTCTGAAATCTCAAATGTTGCTAATTTAATCATCAGGCTCCTGTGCTGATGCTGGTGGCATTAGTGACACGAAGAAAGAGGAGGGAGGAGGAGGAGGAAGAGGAGAAAACAGCTGGGGAGATGACTAAGTCAGCAATGTGCTTTCACACAAGCAGAAGGACCTGAGTTCAGATTCCCAGCACCTCTGTAGAAAGTTGGACATAGCATCCTAGCACAGGGGAGGACTAGGAGACAGAAGAACCCCTTCAGCTTGCTAGCCAGCAAAATTAGCTAAATTAATAAGTTTCTAGGTCAGTTGCCAACCTGTCTGAAAAAGTTGAGGATGATACCAACCACTGACCTCTGACCTCCACCCACACAAATCTCCTTGAATGTGGAGCAACTGTCTCTGCCCCCACAGCATCTCTGCCTTCCCTGTGATACTCCTAATATCTTTCTCTGAATGATTTTTCAATAATTTACTGCTCCTAATAAAAACTGCCCAGTCACTGAAGCCGTCTCAAATCCCAGGATGGTGCCACCTTCAATTTGGCCAAAATAGAACACCTGAAAGAGAAAAAAGCAGAACTAGGGAAAGAAGCTGAAATCTTCTTGGTCCTCCCCTCCCTTTTCCACCCTGTAAGAAAAGAGTTGCTGTTGAGTAAGGGAAGACAAGTTAAAAGGAAAAATATAATCCGCCTGCAGCAATGCAGAGTGTTCACTCCCAGCACAACAGACAAAATTTTGGCTAAAGAGAATAAATGAACAGTAAAACAAAGCACATGTTAGCCATCAAACAATAACAGAGAGGAACATTGTAACAAGCAAGTTTGGAGTGGGGGGGGAGTTACACTTGGGTCACTTCTAATAAAATTTCTACTTTGTATCCCTGTAGATTTATCCCCTCTTGACAGCGCACAACCAGGCAGTCAAAAGTAACTTCTCTGAAGAAGAAAGTTAGCGGTGAAATAAAATCAGACAACCTGGTTCTTCGGTACTTGAGGCTCCATTTCCAGAAGCTGATTCAGGCTAGTTCTGTTCACTCATACGGGGTATCAGAATACGGGGTATCACTGCAAGTGAAAATTTTAATAAACTTGAACTTTTAAAAAGAAAAGTAGCTTTGGAGTGAATTGCATGCTGGTCCACATATACTAAGACTTCTTCCAAGACCAATAAAAATGTTCACACTTACTATGTGGTTAGGACAAGCTAATAAGTTGCTCTGAGTTCTGGGTTATTTCTTTCTTATATCAAATCTGACCAAATTCGATGAAGTTTTCTTAAAAAAGAATCCATTGAACGTCTGAGAAACATCCTAAAATTCTATCTCCTCCTCAATGACTCACCTGCTTAAGGTGACACATTCACACCTTTTAGCCTCCCTGTCTTCTTAATGTGACATCTGTAGCCCCGATCCTGCTGTCAGCAGCTAAGACCAAGCTGGGTGCTCAGAGGGTTCGGATGAGAGAGGCAGAAGCAAGCACAAGGCCTTTGAAGTTAAGAGCTACGACCTACATTTTCAATGGTGGAACCTCGTATGGGGTGTACAACATGAACAAGAAAATAAACAAACATTATCAGCCATAGAGATTCTGAAAGTCATACAAGAGACACAGCCACAGAACACAGACACAGTCATAGAAGAGCCACGCAATCTTGAGATGAGGAGCACCTAGATGAATTGTGTTCTTAAAAACAAAAACACGGGCCAAAAATAAACTCAGAGTGAACTTCACCAGTATTCTATCATATTATTGTTGTTTGTGGTGGTGGTGGCAGTGTGTGTGTGTGTGTGTGTGTGTGTGTGTGTGTGTGTGTGTGTGAATATGTGTGCATATGTTGACACAGAGTCTCACTATGGGGCCGTGGCTGGCCTGGAACCCATTCTGTAGGAGAGGCCGGCTGAACTTGCATAACTGCTCACCCTGTGAGTGTGAGATTATAAGCATGTCCTACAATGTAGGGTTACCAGGATTCTGCTCTGTCTTGAACATCTTAGATCAAAATATAATTAGTTTGTTAACTAAATGTGTGAATATTGCAAAAATTGGTAAAGGCAGTTAATATACTAGATATCAGACCAGGGGTCCTGCTTTTTCTCAAAGCAAGGAAAATGGGACCAAAACTTCTCCACTTAAAATGAAAATGGTTATATTAGATTGTAAAAACTTCTACAAATGAGCAAATCTTGACTGGACATTAAGTAAGGCTGTATGGTTTGGCAGGAAAGAAAACTGCAAAGCCTCCTACTGGCCGTCAGTGGGTATGAGGCAGTGATGTGAGGTGTGAAGAAACAGTCAGCCTTCTAGAAGGTCCCAAGAACAAACAGTTCACAGTAATCTGCATCAGACAGGGTCCCTCTTAACACTGACGGACTGGGGACCTTTGAGGAGAACATGGACTAGACAGTGAAAAGTTTCAAAGAGGCGTGATGTGACAAACACGTGATAAAGATCGATAATCCAAGATGGGGGAGTCTACAGCCATACCAAGATGGGGGAGATGAACACTAACCTTCAGATTAGTTTTAACTTTTGTGTTGGACCACCAGGACAGTAAATGTAATATAATTGGTTTAAGATGCATTACTGGTATAAGAATGCTCTGATTTATTTTTGTGTTTTGGTCTTTCTGATAACATGCAAAGAGCCCATGAACCCACCACACAACAAGAAAACAAGATTTTGACATTATCTTCCTCTACCGCTGTCAGAGGTTATGTATTAGTCTGAGTCCCCCTATTGCAACTCAAAGCCTGAACTAATCGACGTATGCAGATGAAGCTTATTTTGGATCACTGTTTTGGATCATGGTCATTTGACTCTTTTGCTCTTGAACCTGTGGGAAGACAACACATTAGGGCAGGAAGTTTGACGTGGAATGGAGCTCTTCATCTCATGACCAATGGACAGAAAGGAAGAAGAAGAAGAAGAAGAAGAAGAAGAAGAAGAAGAAGAAGAAGA